CTTGTACATGTCGAGACTAGAGACATGTGGGTCAGACGGTGTGTCGCAGGTCGGCGTGTTGCAATGTGACTAGCCGGACGTCGGCATGTCATGACCAAGCAGCTTAGAAACGGAATTTCGTACATGGGTCAGGATTATGCCGCATGACTTCAGGAATCTGGTGACACAGGAAGTTGCACCACCGTGCATCGTCTGTAATCGAGCGACTGTCAGTCATGAGCTGAGGCTATGTGCGTGAGTGGATGAGCCGAGCGCTCAGGCCAATGTGGCCAGCACCGCAGGACAGCTGCGATGCTGCTTGTTGGTTGCCGTGTGTACCACTTTCACACACCGCATGCGATTTGCAACAGAGCTTGCCCAGGCAGACATGCCACTCCGCCCATGTGACTGCGCCGGAACTGCACAGCGACTTGCACGCATCTACGCATCTGCACGCGCAGTGCACGCATGCTTAGACGTGGGGACTAGCGGCGGGTTGATTTTGCAGAGCCTAGGTCAGTTGAAGCGCGCCTAAGTCCGCCGATCTCGTTGGAGGAGCTGCCCCGAAGCCGCCTCCTCAACTCGTAGGTCGTAGATGCGAGGCAGCCTCTAAATCATCCGTACACGATTTCGTGCAGCTGGCTTGAGGACTCGTGCCAGGGTTGCCGCTCTACCCAGTGCCCGGGCTGCCTTTGCTGCCTCATCTCAAGAGCTGACACTCCGTCGTAAATCTCGCGCTTTTGACTCCTTTGAGCTCTTCTTGAACTCTGCTGAGGCTCCGGGCTACTTTCGGGATTGTGCTCCTTAGCTGCATGGGATGGCCATCGCAGCTTTTAGCAAGGGAGCTCACCCGTTCTTGCTCGAGGCGCAGGCACACGAGGCAGCAGGGCACAAGCCTCAACAGATGCTGTCCTGCGTTGCACAGCAAAACAGCACGAGGATCAGGCGTGATTGCTACAAGCTGCAAGGCTTTTGCAGCACTTCTTGGACTCGACTTGCTTGTCGGACCGCAGGATGCGAGATAAGAGAGCCTGCAAGAGAGACGAAGAGTCGCAGCTCCGCGTCGCGAGAGGACAACCTTGACTGACTACCTGGCAGCGAATCCCGGCTTGGATGAATACATCCGCGTGCGCGTGCCTTCCTCGTGACTCGAGTGCCCTGAAGTGCTGCAGGGCTTTGCTCTGAGCACCGCGACCTTCCAAAAGAGATCGTACGAGAGTTCTTGCCTAGACACTCTGCATCTCGAAGTCTTCGGTGGGGTTTGCTCCTCGTGCACTCGCGGCCGCGTGCTTCGCAGTTTCGGCTCCTGCCTTCAGCACTTTGTGGTCTCAGGGCCGCTGAGACATCTGTGATGGGTAGCACGCTGTGTGAGCCATGGGAAACTTGGGCAGTTTGGTCCAACCACCGCCAACTCAACACAGCCAGCCCCCGCATCGCGACACGGAGCCCTGGAGGCCATATGTTTACAGCCCAGCTGCCGATTTGCGCGATAAGTTAGCAGCTTGCAGACAATCTGTTTGTGAGCTTGTCCATCGCTCTATGCTTCATCGTGCTCGCACTGACTTCCCCGACTTCACATCGCTCTTGATGTGCTTCTGTCTGAGTCTTCATTTCTTGGGTTTTTTCACGCTTTGCGACGTCCGCCTCGGCCTGGTTGCACTTGAAGGAGGTGCATTGTTTCGAAAAGCAACGGGTTAGGCCACACAGGTGAGGTCTTGAGTGAATGAGTACATTTGCTTCAGAATGTTTTTCAATGTCAGTGTTGGCTTTCATGCTGAGGTGCTGAGCAAGAATCCCACGCGAAAGGTGGCCCATTCCTTGCATTATCCCATAGACGTTCGTATCACCCTTCTCACTGGTCTCGTACATAACCTTCCTATATGTTGGAACTCAAAGAAACCTCCATCAACTGCACGTCAGACGAACGATGTAAGCTCGCCCGCCTTGCCTCGCCGCACTATGCCGCAAGGAAGAGACGAGGGAAGGGGCGGGGTGTGGGGGTGGGAGGCGTGGGGGGCCAAGCCGGGGTCGGGTGGTAGCACCTATAAACCCTACAGATATGCACCTGCTACATATACATATATGTATGTATTTTTTTTGTATATAGATAGATAGATAGATAGATAGATAGATAGATAGAGTCATAGTTGTATGTACCTAGTCACCGTGTGCCGGCATTCTCCAGCATGGCGTTGACGATCCAGGCCGAGAGTTGACAAGATGTCCGCCTTGCACTTGCTTCGTTCCCGTGAAACACCGGTTGGTACTGGCCTCAGACTTAAGATGGTGGTGCTCCTTCCATGACTGGTATTGTTGAAGGTGCTTTCAATATTCTTAGCTGTACCTGTTCATCTCTGATATCATTGCCATAAACTGATCTGAACGTTTGCAAGGACTCATGCCTGAGCTGGTCAACGCCACGATCGGCCACAAGCTGCCCAGCGCGCGTGAGCTCACCATGCTTCTCGCATCTTTCGCGAGGCTGACTTTTAGGAAGTTATATAATATATAATATATAATATATAATATATAATATATAATATATAATATATAATATATAATATATAATATATAATATATAATATATATTATATATAATATAACATAACATAAGATAAGAAGGGCCGGCCAGGGCTCGCCTCGAGGAGGCATTTTCAAAAGCACTGACAGAGGCGAGCATTGTGGCGGTCAGCGGTCGTTCTGCTCTCTCAAGCCCGCGATGTCGTGGATATGCCAGCTTTGGGTGGCTGGCCGAGATGATTCAGAGACTTGCAAGTGTCCTGTGAGCCTGTGGCTGGTGGCAGCTACATGAGTTCTGAGGCGCTGCTTTGGCTGCTTGCGAGAGGGGCAGCCAGTGGCATATTGCCGCTGCTCTGTTGGAGGATGACAATGAGGGTCAAGAGGCTAGACATCCAAAACACCGCGGCGGTCACGCGACGACCGTGCAGGATTTCCACTTGCAGCTCCTTTCGCCTGATGATGGCGCAGCTGCATCTGTTCTCTCAGCACCTCGGCCATGGGAAGTTTGGTGTCACCCTCCCCTCTGTGCTTGAGAGAGGCCGAGTATCTTGCACCGTTTCAGGCATGCGGCAAGGCAGGTCGCTGGCCAGCAGCCTGCCAGCTGTTTGAGGCTCTTATCAGGCCATAGGGTTGTGAGCAGAGCTTTCTAAGGGCATGTAATGGGCTGCAACTTGCATTGTGTGGAAGAAGACGCGGCCACTCCCCTAAAGACTGCCAACAGTCGGCGTCGTTTGCTGGAAGGACCAAAGACAGAGGTCACCGAGAAGAGGCGTCGTGTGCATCAGCTCTACGTCCAGGGATGGAGTAGGTCGATGTGGTCAGTTGATGTGCCAGTAAACCTGCTGCAATCTCTTGCCCAAACCCGACTTGCCGCAATCACATGTATTCTCGTGGGACTGCTCAAGAACAGGCAGCCCGACATGTTGCAGTTGCAGAAAACCGGACAGATACTTGGTAGCCACGGTAGCCACCTCGGTATTTCTCTGTCGCCTCTGCATGGCCACCTCGTGGATACTGGTACCTACGAAGCGCGGTGCCGGGACGGATCGCTTGAACCGCCACGCGGCAGACCTGTCACAACCTGCGAGCATTTCGAAGATCATTGCGGGTGCCTGCGCTCATCGCTTGCTCGCACAACAGCGACTGACCCGTTTATACGGCCTTGTGCGGCGACGTTGCATCCTTGCTGTGGGGGCCGTGTGAGGGCCCAGCACGCCACTCGCATCTGACGCACGAACGTCCGCATGGGCCCATGTCGCAGCGGCTGTTCACCAAAACAGTCACTGCTCCCTGCCTTTGCCTTCGGGCACCAAGGCAGGAGTGCATGGCAACAGCCCCAGAATCAATCGGATGCCCAATGGCTGCTTGCGGATAATGGACGGGTTACCGGCCTCCCTCCTCAGCAGCGCTTAGGTCGAAAACTTGCTCCCAGCGAGTTGACTTGTTACAAAAGAGGACGCAACCAATCGAGCCATGCCAAGCTTGCAGCTGACACGGACGAAGGCAGAGAACGCTTCCATTTGCAAATTCGTATGTAGCGGGTCGGGTCATGTCTCGTCGACTTGTTTTCGTGCACCTGTGGTGTTCTCTCCACGGTCCGAATATCACAGCAAGGGATGTTCCATGATGCGCGGTCTTGACGATGCGACGTCCCGGTGGCTGTTTATGGATTGCGTGCACGACAAAACTCTGCATTAGGTTGTAGACTGTTTTGGTTTCTGTGTGTGGTCCGGTACGTGTCTGATGATTTCCACCACCGAGCCTTTCGCCGCGATTGTCCTTTCCTGATGGAGTTGTTGGGCTTCACGTTTTTCTTTGACCGCACCCCTTTTACGGCATCGCCACTTGTTTGATTTCGTGGCTATGTTGCTTATATACTTATCTGCTTGAATATCAGTAAAGTGCCCGCTTTGTTGAGGATCAGCAACGTCTCGTGCTCGCAAGGCTGAGCAGGATTGTGCATCGGACCGTCCTACAACCTGCCACACACCAATCTTGACATGCTTCGGCTCAAGTGCCAACTTGGTTTTGGGTCCGCAATAAACTCGATCGCTCTGCACCTCACAACTGTTCGGGCATGTCGCATCCTCCATGCGTTTCACTGCTGTACTGTCACGACTGTCTCTCAATATCATCACTTCTACGAGGGCAGCCTGGGTACATCACCTAAGTTGCATGGTGAGAGTGTGCGGGAGTAAGGTGAAGTGAGCGAAGCTTCGGAGCCCGGACCGGGAGGGAAATGTGCCAAGCAGCGAAAGTCCCAAGTGTAAGTTGAACTGATCACTGCAAACTCGGATTGGACCCAGAAGCTACCTTGTATCGAAGTTGTGATGACACGAGCAACCAGCAAGTTTTGGAGAAAGCCCCATCAGTTTTTGGCAAAGCCGACTACAAAGGCCATGGACGAGCTCTTAGCACGGGGTTGTCACCAACGCAAACCAGCAAGGGTAGAGGAGGAGTGGGAAGAGTAGGGCGGGGGAAAGAGTAGGGAAGCGGAGGAGGAAGAGGAGAGCGAGGAGGCCCGGTGCAGCCGCGGAAGCGTCAGCCCTGTCACTCGCCCCGGCGAGCCACGGAGGAGGGCTGCATCTCGTGGCGCTAGTGCCACGACACCTAATTACCCCGAGTTGTCGCGCTCGAAAAGCCGGTGCCACTCACGCGCCGGTTCTGGTCGATTCTTTGACCTTGCCGACCCCCAAATGCAATGAGCATGCGTGACCTCACCACCTCGAAGCTGACGCTTGCGGTACTGTAGTACGCCACGTGAGCTCGCAGACATGAACCTCCACGTGCCTGTGGCGGACGCACCGCACATCGAGGTGGTGCCCCTGTGGCACGGCTCCAAAACTTGCGCTGGATGCCGACACTCGAATTAGACCGTGTGCGGCGCTGTGGTCGGCATCGTGGTTGGCATTGGTTGGCGGCAGGTTCGGCACCGAAGCAGTGCATCTCCTGCGCCTCCTCGCCCGCCATGGAGCGGCTTCGCTCCCAGCATCACGTTCTGGGTGGTCCGTCGGACTGCTCGCCGTCGCGGCCCAGCGCGCTGACGACACCACACGTGTCGAGCTGCCCCCGGCCGCCGAGTCACGCGAGGGGCTCACCAGACTTGCATGAGGTCCTCGCCGACGCACGCTGGGGACTGATGCAGCTTGCGCTACCGCGGCAGCTGGTCCCCGAGTCCCCGATGGACCGCGCTGATCCATCCCCCCTTCAGCGCCACGTGCCTCGGTAGCTCGACAGCGAACTCCTGAATGCAGATGAGTGAAACAAAAATCAGTTCCATAATTCTGTATGAGTTTGTTTTTGGTTTTTCCTTTTCTTTTTGTCAGTTTCAAAAGATATGGTACAAACACCTCGTCCCTCACTGCAGCCCGGTTTTTTGGTTCCAAACGGAAACAGAACAGATCGCGCACGATGGTGTTCTTTTTATAGCTTGATGTTACAGAACACGGAAACCACCGCTTGCAGCTTGTTTAGCCTCTTCGTGTCACAGTTTAAAAATGGATGTGGGAAAAATAAACAAACTACAATTTCGCAATGGACTCCTTTTTTTCGTGCTTTTGGGCCGTGTGCAGCAGGTTTTTGTCACAGCTACAATCTATCACTGTCTGCGCATCTCCATGCAGAAAGCAAGGGCCAGCGGGACCACCTCGCAGCATCCATATACCAGGTGCTGGTGAGCACAAGTTTTTGCGAGGTTCATTGTATGCTGCACGTTTCGCTTCGAAGGCAGATGAGTGAAAAAACATTTGCGGTGCTCCGCGAGGGTGGCGATTAGCAGCGGCGGTGGTCTACGCGGGATGTCGTGCGAAACTGCTGAAACAAGATTACAGCCCACAACGTTGACATGATAATCAACGGCGATGGTCCGCTAGGGTTCTTTGCATGCTGTTTGTGTGGGTCTACAGTATGCTTTATCGTGATAAGCGGTGGTCCGCGAGGGTTCGTTCCATGTGGAACCAACGTGCCGCGAGCAGGGCGATCCGCTTCTGCCTGCCCTGTTCCCTCCGACTCGCGCCGGCGCTACGCTCTTTCCAAGAGGAGCTTCTTCCCGGCGAACGCGTGCGGGGTTTGTTTCGACGACATCTACGTTGACAAGCCACCCGCCCGCACACCTGCCGTGTTGTCCCGCCTCGAGTACCATTTGCTCACGTCGTTGCGCATCCCGCTCCATGCCGACAAAGCCAGTGCAGGGAATTCCGCTAGTGTTCGCCCGCCCCAATTCCCACCCCTTCCCGATGGGTGCAGCACATGGGCTGGTCACCCCGCACAAGACCACGCAAATGTTGGGGGAGCCCCTTGGGCACGTCGCCGCGCAGCTCCAACTCCTTTCTGTGCCTCTGTGCAACACCGTGCTCTCCTGCAGTTGCTTTGGCCTTGGGATGGCGCTGGGGCGCTGGCCACCGGTCTTATCATGCTCTTCGGCTGCCAAACCAATGCCAGCGACGCCCCCTTCCCTTTGGTGCACAGCGGCGGAGCATGTCTTGGCCTGTGCAGCAGGAGGACCCACAGAGTTACAGCCCTTCGCGGCGCAAGCGGGCGCCCAAAAGTTGCTCTGCCACTTGCTACGAGAAACACTAGCGACAGAACCGCTCCCCACGCCGCCGGCAGCCCGTACACGTCCAAGCGTTGCGCCCGTTGCCCCACGAGCGCTTACCACGGGTCACGAAGACGGGCAATCGTCGCCGACAAACGCCGCGGGACGCGGGCGTACACCAGACTTCAACACAAATTTGAGGCTCGCGAGGGGTTCCATGCAAGAGCTTGCTCCAGCTTGGGTCAGCTGCCTGGGTTTGCCCAGGCCCCTAGGACGGTTGCGCCGGTTTGGTCGGCCGGGTTCCAGAACCCAAGAACTTTCCCTTCCTTCTCCCAGAACCGTCGAACTCGTGCCGCAGTCGCAGCTTTCAGGGTAAAGCACCCGGGAACAGGGTCCAGCCGAGGTATGACAGATGGGCTTGCAAGCTTCCCTGCAGCGGGGACACCGACCGCACCTGGTGCTAGGCGGAAGGCGCTGGCGAGCCAACGCCTGGAGCGGCTGCCAGCAAAGCTCTCAGCTTGCTGCTTATCCGATGAGTGCGTCCATTCCTGGACTTGTGTCGTTTTGCCTGAACCCGAAACTACACCCGCTATGGAAGGTTTAGGCTCCATCTCCGCTCGTGCCATGTGCTGCCGCCAGTCCTTTACCCACGGGTCCTCGCATGGAGAAAACGGGGGATAGTCCAGGAATGCAAGGATTCGACAGACTGGTGGCACTACGACGACATATCGTGTGCTCGCCCGAGCGGGTCGCCCCT